TGTTCTCTATAAATCTCCAAATTTGACTTAGCTGTTGTCTTGCACAGCTGTCTTGCAGCTAACTGTGAAGGGGCTGGTAGTGCACTGACTTCACTGCCTCCTTGCAGAGCACAGCTAAAGTGAGGCTAGGAATTGCTACTTGCTGTGCTAGTTCTTACCAACAAAGAAACCTTTAGCTATCTCAGCAGATTCTCATTTATAGGGTCACTAGTTTTACAGTGATGTGCCATCTTTTTCGTACGTTGAAGTTTTAGGAAAGTCTCATTTCCATCTGATAATTCACTTTTTTTTCTGAGGAGTCACTATTTACATGCTTTGAGGTTACACAGACTTTTGTAGCAGCTTCTTGAAGCATAATACAACTATTAGAATAATAATAGACCTGAGTTGTTATGTTAACCTTTTGCCTTTCATATTACTTCTTAAAAAACATTAAAAAAACCCAATAGTTGTGCCTATCAGGCAGCTAGCAATCTTACTAAATACAGACTTCATAGTTGCTCTTGTTTTGTATTTCCAGGTATGTGAAATGAATCTTTGGCACTGCTTGCCTGTGGATGTCATCTGAAGGATAAGTGACATCAGTGGTGGAGAACTGCTGCCTTTGTCTGATAACTTTGCTACCCAAGATATTCACCTTGTGAACACAACCTTTGTAAACTCCTACAAGTATTTAACTGGCAAACATCAGTGTTGTTACTTTGCAGCAGCTGGAATCAGATAACTTAAATTTTCCAGCTATATTTTACTTTAAAATATAGCTTGAATTTTAATTTAAAGTTGCTTTTATGAAAATATATTTGTAATTTTATATAGTTGAGAACTTTTAATGCTTTTTTCCATTATAATATATTTTTATACAAATAAACCCTGAACTGGAATCCAGATCTCTGAAACTTTCATATGAACACGTGAGCTGTGAAACATCAGTACAAATTATGCACTTAATGGAGCTTGAAAATATCTGATAAGACTGTATTTTTTATTAGGCAAAATGTATTACACTGTCTTCATACAGGACTTCATGCTGTTCCTATCAAATTGCTTGAGTAAGTATTTTTTACTCTGTAAAATTTTACTACAGTCAGGAAGATAAAGTTAGTTTTTATTTATATTAAAGGTAATCTGAAATAACATTGACTTAGTACAGATTTGAACAATAACACCTAGTTTGAACCCTGTCTAAAAGCTGTCTTTAAAGCTACATGTCATTCTCTATTAAGTACGAATTAGGAGGTTAGGAATTTAGGCCTAGGAGTTTAAAGAGATACTGCAGCATCGAGAAAATGCTCAAGTGTCCAGAGTCAGAAAAACCTGAACACTTGTGTCCAAAATAGTCTCCATCCCTTTAAAAGGACTGCCTGACCATTGCTGTCTCGCTGCAAGAGTGGAAGGTGAAGCTGTATTCTTTTGTTTTGTATAAGGAACCTGATTCTTTCCATATGTATTAAGCACTGAAGATAATGTGTGAGCTCTCCTTCAGCTGCTGCAGGCATTACACTCAGCTCTGCTGTCCAAGCTGCTCATGTGATTGCCCTCTAATCCTTTCAGGCAAAGTGAGCTAGACTTGTTTAAGCTGCAGGTCTTATTTTGATTGTAGCAGGCTAGTGAACAGTCACAGAAATGGTTCAAGTATTGTGCCCCTTGGAGCTGTTATCTCTAAAACTGTGGCCATGGCTGGAAAAGGATGCATCTGCACCAATGGCACAGTGACCAGTTGCTTAGGGGCTTAGCAGGTGGATTTGGACCTGTCTTCTGCAACCTAGGGGGAGCATAGTCTGTGTTCTTTGATAATGGAAGCAGCACGATCAAATCCACCCCTCTGCTTTGGATTTTCAAACAAATAATCAAGAACTTGGATTGTGTTAAGTGTAATGTGTTTGGATTTTTTTCTTTCTGGTTTTCTTCACAGATAAGAAAATGGAAATGGCGTCCATGGCAATAAGACTGAAACACTCTTAAAATACTTGTTTGAGCTGTTCCTTCTTTCAACCAGAAGGAGTATTTTCCTGAACAAGAAAAATTCCTTTGTTTCCTATGGTAGATTTAGTTGCTAACTTGACACTTGGAATAGAAATGGTGTGAGCTGGCTTTCTGCTAAAGACCAGGACACTTGGAATAGCAGATGATTCTATAATAAGAGTATAAATGCAGAATACTGGTGATAAAATTAAAAAGATTAAGAGAGTGAGGTTTCTTGCTGTTCTGGAAGAACTGTAATAATTTGTGTTAGAGGAACATGGGGAAGTCCTAGTGATGTGCTTCTGTGTGCTCTAGGACCTTACTGAGATTCTTCCACAGTAGAAAACCTTTGAGCAGCAAGGTAGGTTTGTTGTGGCAAAGAGCCGTGTGGAAATTCAATCTTACTACACTTTCCACATAGGAGCAAATTTTCCTTTTGATCCCTCTGTGAAACAGGGGAATCTGTCTCTTCTTGCTGGTCCTACATATGAAGACATACTTTGCTGTGCAAAGCCACTGAGGGGAATTCCCTTATCTGCTGTAGGACTTGCTGCTATGTAGGCTGGGAGGGATGCTGCCGTTCAGAAAAGGGAACGCGTGGGAGAGAACTTGGCTCATGCTTGAGAAATATTGCTAGCATAAGGCATGTTTTTAAAGCTACTTGAATAGCATCTAAAGTTTTAGCTCTCTTCTTCCACTTTTGAACTGTTTGGTAAGGTGAGAGATGTGGCTGTGGGTCATGGATATTACTGCTCCAAAAGCACAATAACCAAACTCAGTGTGTTAGGTAAGCCACGTGTTTCAGAGGAGGCCAACTCAAATGATGGCTGGGTGAAGGGGAATGAGCAGCTGTTTGTTTCTTCATCACTCAAGTCAGATGGCTTGAGGTACTGAACATGAGTGTTCCACTTTCCCTGTGCTCATTCAGTTGCTGCTTGACACAGCTGAATGCCTGACCTGTGACCATCAAATCACAAAATCATTTTGAGTTGAAAGAGAGCTTTGAAGGTCATCTAGTCCAACTCCCCTGCAAGGAACAGGGATACCTACAAGCTGAATCAGGTGCTCAGAGCCCTTCTCAGCCTGACCTTGAATGTCTCCAGGGACTGGGCAATCTGTTCCAGTGCTTTACCACTGTTACTGTAAAGCTTTTTTACTGACAGCCAATTTAAATCTCCCGGTTTAAATCTCTGCTCCTTTAGTTTGAAACCATTTAGCCTTGTCTTATTGCAACAAACCCTGCTAGAGCCTGTTCCCTTCTTTTACAAAGCCCCTTTATATACTGAAAGGCTGCTGTCAGGTCTCTTCCAAGCCTTCTCCAGACCAAGCAGCCCCCACTCTCTCAACCTTTCCTTGCAGGGGAGGTGTTCCATCCCTTGGATTCTTTTTGTGGTCCTTCTCTGGATGTGCTCCACTGTATCCACATCTCTTCAGTGCTGAGAACTCCACATGTGGACATGTTACTGCAAGTGAAGTCTCACCAGCACAGAGTAGAGGAGCAGGATCACCTCCCCTTGACCTGCAGGCCACGCTTCCTTGGATGCAGTTCAGGGTACGGTTGGTTTTGCGGGCTGTGAGGGCACATTACTGGCTTGTGTCCAGTTTGCCATTCACCAGTACCTGAATTCCTCTTTGGCAGGGCTGTGCTGTATCCTTACACTTTCCATCTTGTACTGAGAGTGGGGGTTGCCACAACCCAGGTGCAAGAGCTTGCAATTGCATCTATTGAACCACATGAGTTGCACCTGGACCCAATACTCGAGCCTGTCTGGGCCTCTGTGAATGGCATCCCAGGCATGTCAACCAGACCACACAGCTTGGTGTTGTCCACAAACTTGCTAAGGGTGCACTCAGTCCCACTGTCGATATCATTGATGAAGACACTAAACATTGCTGGTGCCAGTACTGACATTGAGCCATTGACCACCGATCTCTGGCTACAGTCTCACAACTGGTTCCTCATCCATTGAACAGTTCACCCATCACATCCATACCTTTCCAATTTGGAGAGAAGGATGTAGTGGGGGACTGTTGTCAAAGGCCTTAATGAAATCCAGCTAGATGATGTCAATGGCTCTTCCATTGACTAATGACAGAGTTGTTCCATTACAGAAAGCTCCTAGGTTGATCAGGCAGGATTGCCCTTGGTGAAGCTATGTTGTGGGCAGTACTTAAAGCTGACTGTTTCCCTTGACAGAGTGATGTCTTTCAACTACTGTCAGTTTTGGGGGAAGAGCAGTGCTTGGTCCTTGTAGACACCCAATCCTGAAGCCTTTTCTCATATAAGCAAAGGTTTAAAGCAGGCCATGTTCCTCATTTTGTGTAATGTGAGGTCAACTAGGGATGGAGTTGGGGATTAAATCACCATCTGCTTGTTTTTTTAAATCTTATTTATGCATAAACAGGTGGTGATTTCTGCCTACTTATACAGCAGCTCTGGAGGTCATCAGCTACAAAATATGGGAGTGTCTTTGGTGAAGCTGATGGTCTGAATTCCTTTTGGTTTATGCTCTATTTCGAAAGCCTTATTGTGTCAGAACAAAGGCACTAATATAGATGTCATTTCACTGGAGTGTATTTTCAATTTTAGTTCATCATCTAATTACACGTGTCACTGAACAATGTGCTGCTGAGAAAAGTTCTTGTGATACTCTATCTGTATTGCTGGAGGCTGTACTGTCCTTGTGGGCCATTCTGACTTTTTAATCCTTGTTTTGACCTTCTTGAACTGTGAGGCAGAATTTGGACTCAGAGCAGTCTCTCAATCAACACCACTCTTTCTGAATTCAAAGTGAGAGGTTTAGGCTAAGCAGACATACTGCCCCAGTTTAACATGCATAAGATGAGGCACAAAATTATTTACAAGTATGCTCCTTACCTACTGCAAATTCAAGGTTAAATGGATTAGTTTAAATCTCTATTGCTGAGGCTTGAGCTAATATGTCTTATCTTGAGTTTGCTATTGACTGTGTCCTCAGTGCGGTCACCCAGGCTCAGCTGATATGTGGTAACTCATTAAGCTTGCTAACATACTCATTTTTCTGAGCCTTTTATAGCAGGGAGAGGAGAGCTGAAGGAAGGATTTTTCTCCCCTGTGTGTCTTGAGCTGCTGTTGGTGCACCTACAGCCAGGTGAGGCCTTGTGAGGTAGGAAAAGAGTAGTGCTGTCAGTGACTGCAAATGGAAAATCAGGCTCTGCCTTGAAAGGCTGCAGCCTCTGCCTGCTTCTAGAGCCCATGCTTTCTCCTCATCTCCATCACGGATACTTGCTTGGTGGCTGTATTTCAGCTTTGTTTTCAGTATCAAACATCTGCAAAGAGAGAACACACAGGGACTGCGTCTTCCTGGTGGGAAACATCTGTGTCTGCATATACAGATTTTCTTAGCTCTTATTGCTGCTTTTAGGCTATCAGCCTGCTGCTTCAACCACTCTGAAGGTGGAAAAACCCACCTCACGTGGGTCTCTGTAGGTGAACTCAGACTCCATCAGCTCACAGAAACTCAGTTTACTGCCCAAGAGTTATTCTTGCCACACTGGAGCCTGTTTTGCATGAGAGTAATTTATGTGAAGGTGCTTAAAATATGCTAGACATCACATCTGCTAGGGAGAAACTTCCAACTTTACAGCTTGCTGTGCTTGGAAGCAGAATAATTGTCCTAAAGCCAGTGTGACAGCAACAGCTCTTGAGCCAAATCCAGCTCTGCACACTAATATTGCAAACACTATATCCTCAGTGGGGAGATCTCCTCTTTTCTGTGTTACTTTAACAGGCGTTCTACATTACTGACTTCACTGCAGCTTGGCTAACAGTTCTAGCTGTCTCAGTAGCTTCACGTTCATGTAAGAGCATACTGACTGTTGTATCTCAAGGGTTTAGAGCTGTAGAACAGATCACATCAGGACCCTTTTCTTCTTACAGGCTCTGAGTCACCAGTTAAATGCCCTGGGGATTAAAACAGGCCACTTGATTACAGATTTGGCTGCTTTTGTTCTTTCACTTCTGTTTTGGAAACTGAAGTATTGATCAGTTTGGCGCTCCTGACCCAAGTGCTGATGTAAAACACTGCAGTAAGGGTGCTGTCCTTGGCTCCTTCCATAGCCTTTACAAGGAGAGGGAGTCCCCAGAAGATGTCCCTGTGCTACAGTGTGTATTGTAAAGGCACCAGGTAAGGAAGTGTTTCATAGCAAGTGGCTATTTCAATTGCAGATCATTTCTGGGTTTATAATCAGTGACTTCGTGGACCAAATGGATACTACTGAAAGCTGTAGTAAAAGTTTCTGTTGACCCCAGTGGGCTGGGATTTAACTGTGCCAGGACATGGCTGGGCTAGTGGCTTGATTGGTGCTCCAGAAAGGCTTGAGGGTGTCAGCTTTATTATACAGCATAAATACAAGTTTCTGGACATTATTTAAAACATCTCAGGAGACCACTATCTGAACACCTAGGTTAGATTCAAGTGGATGATCATATTCTCCCCTGCTTTTCCACTCCATTTCTGAAAACAGCAGAGTTAATGTAAGGACAGCCCAAAAGCCAGCATGTCTTACTGCTGTCCCCTGAAAGCAGGGTTTTCAAGAGCTGACCCATGGCTGCAGTGTTTCAAGCTCTGAGTGTCTTAGGCTTTCCTGCAGCACCAAGCAATGATCTGGGCAGTCTTTGTTCATAGTTGGCTTCTTAACGCTGTGTGTATTTTAATAGTTTTATGCACTTGGAAAACTGATTTATGAGCAGTAGCTTTGCTTATCTGCAGAGTTTATTATAGGAAAAATGAATGCACATTTTGCTTAGAGGGCTCAGCTCTTTCTAAACAGCATCCCTGCTCATTTATTGTGTTGACAGCTGGCACAATGTGCTACTAATACACCACTGGGTTATTAGGCGTTAGTAGCCACACATCAGCTGTCTCAAAGCTTCTTGGCATGCACTGTTAAATTCCACTTAAAGAACAAGGCAAATTTCTCCAGTGTGCCTCAACTCAAACTCAGAGGGAGCTGATGAGAGCTTGGCTGTCACCCCATGGCTCATCCAAAGGAAGCTGGTGGTCTGAACTGAAGCCGAGTTTGGGATTAGGGACTCCAAGAGCTCCTCTCAGAGCTGTTTGTGTGCGTTGCTCACAGCACTTCTGCAGCCTTAAACGATCTCAAAGGAAATCCCTGCCCTGGCAAGTGTCTCTGGTACCTGCCAGCTCTCACTGCACAAAAAGCAGATGGGTGTTTTTTCCAAGCTTGCTATAGGGCAGCTCCAGCCCTGTTGACTGCAGTGGAAGCTGCAGAGTTCAGTGCTTTTCCAGAAACTCATCCAAAAAACACCCGTATCCTTGCATTTCAGTCATGCATCTCACCAGGGATGCTGCGGTTCTTCATACTTTTACCATCTGTGCAAGTTATCTCTTAGCACAAAATGCTTCCCATGAGCTCTTTGTCGGCCCCAGCTTTATTGTGTAGGTAGTCAAAAGCATTCCCTCCAGTGCCCCTTCTCACATTAAGCCAAATTGCATCACAACCTCTTCAGTGCTGTAGAAAGGCAAGAGGAGAGAGCCAGAGGCTGCATACTTCTCCTCTTTCTGGGTCAACATACAGAGCACTAGGAAGTGTGCAGGGCTACATAATGTGTATAACACGACTTTAACATCTTGTTTCCTGAATGCTTGCCTTCCCAAACATTCAGAGGCACCAGAGCAGCATCAAGCACTGAAGTAAGAAAGGGGCTGTATATCTCAGGGTTTCTGAGACCACTTTCAGATGTTCTAGGTTGTAGTCTCCCTCTTTCTGTTTGGTGGGGTCCTTTGCAAGTTTTAGTATTTTAAAATCAATGTGGAGGTGAACAACCCTTACTGGTGCTGAGAATCTCATCTGCTTCACCAACCCCAGCTTTTAGTTGCTATATCCAAGGCTGAGCCATGGCATGGTTGCCCAGCATTGCCCAGCAGATGAGACCACACTTTTAGTTACCAGAAAGTCCCTTGGAAATTCATCATCACACACGACTTTATGACAGCTTTTTTAGTCTTTCATGCCACCTATGCCAGAATTAACGAGAGTAACATGAATTGCAAAGAGTCTTTGTAAAAGTGATTTTGTTGGGGAGAGGCAGCCTGGTCATGCTGAAATTAGCCTATCATGGAAGGAAGATGCAATTGTACCCAGAAAATTAACATTTTTGCCTCAGGTTATCCTAATGTTTTTGGACTTCCTTCCCATGTACATGTCCCTGCAGTCCCTTGCAGTTGTATGCTTGGATGACCTCTCTGACTTGATGAGTCTTCCCAGCCCTTGACAAACGTTCATTCTGGGTTTTGGAGAAGATGGCACAGGTTATTCTTTTTCAGTTGCAACCAAAGCAGAACTGCAGGCTGAAATGCTGATGAAGACTTATGTCAGCTCCAGCAAAGACCAACACCAGCCACTCAGTGGGGCTGCTAGAAGAAGACACCAGAAAATTTTGTTTAAAAATCTCAGTGCACTCACATATTTCACTTATATATCTCTCCAGCCCGAAGATGCAAATCAGAGTATTGTCCATGGCTTAAGAAGGAATAGGACTTCAAGGACCTTGAGTAGAGCAAGAGCACATGGATGCATAGGAACTGGTTTGTTAAACTCCTACGGTACTCAGCGTTCTGTGCTTCTCTTGTAATCTCTTCTGGACATTTCTTCTGAAATTCTCAGGAAGAGATCCAAAGGAATTGTGTGGTAGGGAAAGACCATTCTTTCCCCCCAGACCCTTAAATTCTCCTAACAATCACATTAACTGTGCACATGAAGACAGCTGGATGACAGCATTTATCCTTACTGGGCTTTTTGTTTTCCTTATCCCTTGTGGAAAGAAAATCTCCAGCAATATCCACTGCTCAGTCTTCATCTATGAGAGTATTTTCTCCCACACACATTTCAACAATTAAGGGCACGGACACCAGGTTATTGGAATTTGCTGCCTGTTACTTTTTTTCTTTGTGTTTAAATGGCCCAAATTTACAGGATAGGCCCCACATATGTGTCTCCATGGAGATGGGGACAAATGAGGCAGGAACGCACACCAAAATAATGGGCACTCTCAACTGGAAAAGTATTTAAAATGTCAGATCCATTTTAGTATTTATTTAATATGAAGTGGCTCAGTCTTTCCAATTTCATTCCCAGAGTCCATTTCTGGCCTTGTTTAGAGGGCTAAACCAAGCTTTTCTCCTAGCAGGGACCGAGCCATCTGCCTTTCTGCCCCATCCTCACAGCTGGGTGGCTCAGCAAGAAGGAGCCGTTCAGCCAACCTCAGCATCTGCCAGTGGTGTTTTCTCTTGACCTTTCCAAAAACAGCTGCCTTTTTGCCTAAAAATAAATTTTACGTTTCCAAGCCAAAGAGACAGACTTCCCCAGGCATTGTGAATAACATCATTGTTTTGAAATGTCTCTCGGCTTTTGCATAGTGAAAGCTTGACGTTAAAAAAGGTGCTTCAATTCAGTACTGAATATTGGCTGATACTCAAAATACAATAGGACAGTGGAGCTTCTGTGCTGTCTTGTGATGTGCACTCCGTGAAACAAGTTTGGGGAGGGCAGGAAGAAAAACACCCGAACATTTCTGTGAAGCTTCCTTGAGATATTTTTAATGCAGAAATTTTCACTTTTGGTGTGCCTCCATGTCAAGCCTGTAACTTCCCATCCAGCTTGTGGTGAAATTTTCAGGTGAACTTCTTTGCTTTTTTCACTCAGTTCCAAGCAGATGGTGTAAAGATGGTATTCAAACTGGGAAACGCTCCGAATGGATCCAGTTCCTCCTTAGCCTTGATCTGTGGGGTTTGCATGCATGTATCCTTGCATACGCACATACAAAAGCTCAGACTGAATCTTGGTATAGAATCATTGATTCATAGAATCCTTGGAGTTGGGTGGGACCGTTAAAGGTCATCCAGTCCAACTCCCCTGCAATGAACAGGGATAAGCACACCCAGATCAGGTTGCTCAGAGCCCAGTCCAGCCTGACCTTGAATATCTCCAGGGAAGGGCATCCACCACACCTCTGGGCAATCTGTGTCAGTGCCTCACCACCCTCTCTGTAGAAGTCTTCCTTATATCCAACCTAAATCACTACTCATTGAGTTTGAAACCACTTCCTATCAGTCATGATGGTGACAATCCTTACAGAGGTGAAGCTGCAGTACCAGGAAAGTGATGGGTGGGATACTGAGGACGTGGGGCTGCTTTCCTTTCTCAGCCACTGCTCCTCTCTCCCTGAGCCCCTCACAGTTCATGCTTTACACATGAAAGTAAAAATCCGTTTGCAATACCTGTCTGTTATTATTTCAGATGGTTTCCTCCACAGTTTGTGGACCATATCCCAGAGTAATAAATACTTTCAAGATAAATATTAATTTCCCTTGGCTTTTGTGAGCTCCAAATGGCAAAGGAACAAACCTGCCAGTCTTGCAAATGTCAACTTTTTATCAAGAAGGAGCCCTGATAAGTAGTAGCAGTGTGCGGTTGCAAACCAACTGTGCTAATGGGAGCAGGGAGGAAAACAAATCTCTCCTCAGACAAGGACTACTGCTGGATTTTTCTCCAACTACTGTACTGTCTTACTTGTATTTTCTCCATGATCAAGAAACAGATGCCCTTAGCTCATCTCGGTGCCAGATTTACAACAATCCTAATGGAAAAAAGATGTCAAACCTCCAGACATCCCCATTTCCTGTGGTGTGGGATTTGCTAGCCTACCTGCAGAGCCATGTTTGGTGCCTTTATCTAATGTCATGAAACTGGAGAAGTGGGAAAAAAGTGTATATTTATATGGTATGTGCCTGTATCTGTGTTCACCAGGTCAGCATTTCTCTGCTGCTCCTGTCTGTGGTCCCCATATGATCTCACCTGGGTGATTCCATCCTCTTTTAGGCTCCGAGAAGAGCAGCCCCAGGGTGCTGGGTTACCTCTAAAGGGAGAAAAAAATACCTTTGTATGGGAGCCTACAGTTGTGTGCTGCTG